TTATTTCAACTAAAACTCCTGTATTGTTCATAAAGGCTAGAGTATAGGAGGTCCCTTTAGGCATCAAAGATGAGAATCCAAGTCAGAAAAATTCTAACTGACCCTTATGCTCAAGATTCCAGTGCTGAGCAGGACAGGGAAGACAAACAGAGCCATTTAAGCAAGTCTTATTCGTGTCTAGCATTGTTGCCATGACACAGTTTGGAAGGAAAAGGCCTATCAGCAACTTATTTCCCCTGTGCTTCAATGCGTTAAAGCATTTTCTCACAAGAAATACATGTGTAGTGTTTAAGGATCCTTGATAGAGCTCCTTGTAAACTGAACTCTCAGAGGTTGTCATTGGAGACCCACCATTTATTTTCTAAACAAAGGTCAAGATTAAACTTGAGGGATTTAGCCAAATCTCTAATACAAGAGGATTCAGTTAAGACTAGAGTTCACATCCTTATGACTAAACTTCACAAGAGAGAAAATGTTTCAGAGGCACTGGAGAGCAAGAGTGCCTGATTGATACACCCTTGTTATTTTAATATTGCCCTCTAGCACTTTTTGAAAATTAAGTCTCAGGAGGCAGTAAAACTCTCTTATTTTTATTTTTATTTTTTTCTGTTTTCATTTACTTCAACCCAGGATCATCATGTGACTGAGATGATCAGGTTCAAAAGAGAAGGGAAAATGTGGTGTGGGTTTGTATTAGTCCATTCTCACACTGCTATAAAGAACTACATGACACTGGGTAATTTATGAAGCAAAGAGGTTTAATTGACTCACAGTTCTGCATGTTGTACAGGGAGCATGGCTGGGAGGCCTCAGGAAACCTACAATCATGGTGGAAGGGTGAAGAGGAAGCAAGCATGTACTACATGGAGGAGTAGGACAGAGAGCACGAAAGAGTAAGTGCTACATAATTTTAAACAAGTAGGTCTCATGAGAACTCACTCGCTGTCATGATAACAGCACGGAGGAAATCCATCCCCATGATTCAATCACCTCCCACCAGGTTCCTCCCCAAACATTGGGAATTTGGGAATTACAATTCTACATGAGATTTGGGTGGGGACACAGAACCAAGCCATATCAGGGTTTATGTTTCATTTTGTCTATCTGGCTTGATTGACCATTGTAGCAGGGATGGTATGTATATTGGAAAATGCATCAGGCAGGCGTAAGTAATCTCTATTTTCTTGGGATTTTAGTAGTTATTAAATAGAAGACATCATGCATCACTTTAGTCTGCAACAGTATTTTTTAAAGCAAAATGATCAGTTGAAAGTGGCACTAGGATTGTTTAAGTGTAGGTTCATTTATGGTTCATTTACAGTTTGTATGTAGTTTTGCCACTGTTTTGTATTCCTGACAGTCCCATGAGTCACTGACATCTTGTCAATTACAGTAGCCAACCTCTCTACCTGTATATCTGCAGAAAATTGGCTGAGATACAAATTTAGGAAATGTAAGGTGTCATTCTGTCAGTGAAAGTACAACAATGGCTCCAGGAAGTGGATAAAATTATCTCTCAAATGGAAAAAGGAGGTTTCAAGTTCCCTACCCCTCCTCCTTGGTTTTCATTATGTCCCCTCATTGTTTTTTATTTCAAACTTTGGATAGTGTGCAAGCTTCTTTACATCCAGGTTTTTAATCCCGCCAAGAAAACATTGTACTTTTGAGATAATCAAGCAGACAGCACTGCTCTTAATCTTGAGAAAAATAAAAGAAAAAAAAAATAAACCACAGAGCTGATGAGAAGACCCTAAAGGACTCAGAGCTTGTAATGAAACACATTATTTCCTTTAGTTTGAGTTTTTCCTTTCATGAGGAAAACTCTAAGATATACAAAAACAGTTCTTTATGGCTTGAGGCTCTTATATTGCTAATGGCTTTTGACAGTGGTATTACTGCTTGTTTAATCCAATTGAATTTGACTATTCATTCAGTAAGAAGATAAACTAGTTGACAGAGGAAATTTTTTTCAGTCACTGGTTCATATTAATGTCTGAAAATTCAATTGTCTAGAAAAGAAGAGATAGGGGTAGAAGAGAAGCCAGAGAGATGTAATTATAATCAAGGATTTTCCTGAAATTTGAACTTGACTATGAAGAAAGTATTGTTTGTGGGAAGAAATAATGTTAATTCCCTAAAACACAGGGTGAGAACTTTTTAATGGAGTACACATAACTCATCAAACTATATTATCAAATATGTCTAACCCACTTTACACACACACACACACACACATACACACACACACACACACACCCCACCCTATGCTGCAGGTATATCAATCTTTATTGTTAACTAAATATAACACATTTCCTCCTTCCCCACTTCCGTGCCTTTGCACATTGTATTCTTTGTATCCTTTTCCTAGAATGCTCTCCTTTAAATCGATAAACTTATGCTTCAAAATGCAACAAAATTACCACCTTTTCAATGAAGTCCTTCAGGATCCCCCCAGTGTCCCATAGAAATTTGTATATCCTCTTAATTCAATGTTCTGCAACCTTCTTTGCACATTAGCACCCCTGGGATTTGGCATGATCCTATCAGTTATGCTGTCTCAGTGGGGTTTTATATGAGAAGGGGCTTCCTATGGGTGAGGCAACAATGGTTCTCTCTTGTGAGGTTGAAATTTCCAGGGTATGAGTTTAACTTGAAACACCCACAACTCCCCTTCCCCACCCCTACCCCATCATAAACTCTGGTATATCCACTTCCTATTCCATGGACAATCACTGCTCCAGTTATTGCTGTTGTCATAACATCTTGTGAATATTTGTTTCCGCCTCTCTTTCTGATACTAGACGGTATTATTCATTTTTATGGCCAATGTTCTCCTTCTCACAGTAAAGTATTTCACATATAGGAGGTGCTCAGTAAACGTTTGTTCAAAGAACAAGGGCATGAATGAATGAGTAAATGCCTGAATAACAGAATGATTTCTAGGACACCAGAGGACTTGGCATCCTTAATTGGTGAAGAGATGAACCAAAATACAGTTATACTCTTGTGCATGGAGTGGTCTGGGTAGCTTTAATCTGTCAGTAACCCTCAGCCATATGTTGCTATTGTGCATATAAAGTGTGAATAATCTGAATTGAGATGTGCTGTGAGTGCAAAACTTCACACTGGATTTAGGAGATAGTACAAATATCTATATATATCTACATATATGTATAAAATACATCAGTATCAAAAAGCAAAACATCTCAATTTTATGTTGATTACTTGTTGAAATGATATTTTGATCTATTGAGTTGCAGTATATTAGTAAAATTAATTTCACCTGTTTCTTTTTATTTTTCTAATGTGAATGGTAAAAAAAAATGCATATGTAGCTCACATGGCATGCATTATATTTCTCTTGAACAGCACTGGTCTTAAGAAATGAATCTCAGGCCCTGAATGGTTGAGTCTAACTTTGGCCCACTCAGATGAAAGTGTCTGTGCAGGGAAAGGAAGGAAGTTGATGTGCACACTTATTTCCTTGAAAGTGCGTTGATGCTATACTGAAGAGCACTGGGATCAACAGTAGTCTTTGAACAATTTCTGGTTCTCCATTACTTTCCAGGTATCTAGTGTGATCCATACTTCTCACTGTGCCTTTCATTACTTATCATTAGGTATTAGTTGTGTGTACCCTTCACCCCAGTGCCAAGGCTGTGTTACCTTCACTCTTAAGGTCCTTCACCTACTAATAACTTTCCCTTTACCAGGACAACACAGATGCTGCCCAAGCTGCAGTCTTCCTATGCCCTACCCCCAAGTATCTTACTGAGGCACCCCTTGCTATGGGTTCCCACTGCACTGATAGCATTTTCCACATTACATTGTAATTTGCTGTGTGTCTCAGTAACTAGCCTGTAAGTTCTTTGAAGGCAGAGACTGTCACAATCAATATTTAAATGTTACATACCAAGAGAATGAATCAGTTCAGTGATTACCTAATTTGCCCATAAATTTCCATCAAACATCTGCCCTAGAGAAATCATACTTCTTTTTAAAAAAACATACAGTATCTGACATAAAGAAAATATATCAAAGCCCTACCTGGAATCAAGCTTGATGACTAAAATCTACTTAATCCCCAAAAAGCCTTGTGTCAGGACCCACCTTCTGCAAAAGCATTACAGTTTATTATGGAAAAGTGATTGCTAAAACATGTTGGCTTCCTTTTCCCCGTCAGGAGGGCTCATTGCCGTGTTAACCTGAGGAGCCTGTGTATATTTGCCTTTGTCCCAGAAATATGTGAGTGTTCCTGTGCTGTGGAGAATTAGGCACTGGGCAGTTAAGAGAGGGAGAGAGAGCGCCCAGGATTGGAGTCCCAGTCTTCTAAATGCAACCTATAGCTCGGAAATAAATTAGACTTTTAAAAACAGATATTTATTGGAGGTACTCCTAACAAATTTTTACCTACTCAAGAAACCTGAGTCATACTTCTCATATTCCATTCTGGTGTACCTAACCTCAGCACACTTATGTGAGTACTAAAAACTTTTTGATGGCAACAAAAAAAGAGTGGTAAAAAACTTAAAAACTTTTTTTAACTTAAAAACTTTTTAAAACTTAAAAACTTTTATTAACTTAAAAACTTTTTGATGGCAACAAAAAAAAGTGGTTAAAAAAAAATGAGAAAACATTTATATTATAAATAAAATCCAAGACTGAGTGCAGTGGCTCATGCCTGTAATCCCAGCACTTTGGGAGGCCAAGTGGGGTGGATCACTTGAGGTCAGGAGTTTGAGAGCAGCTGGCCAACATGGCGAAACCCCATCTCTACTAAAAACACAAAAATTAGTCAGGCATGGTGGTGCACATCTGTATTCCCAGCTATTTGGGAGGCTGAGGCAGGAGAATCGCTTGAACCCAGAAGGCGGAGGTTGCAGTGAGCCAAGATTGCACCACTACACTCCAGCCTGGGCGACAGAGAGAGACTCCATCACAAAAAAATAAATAAATAAAATAAAATAAAATCCAAAAATGGTTTATCATTTATTCCTTCACTCAGTTAACTCTAAAATTTATGTCTACACATGCCTCCCTAAGAAAGAGCTGATAAATCTTGACCACTGAGGTCAAGAAAATAGTTCTAGATTCATCTGTTCCCTCTTTTGCATAACCTAGTGTTTTCCTGTCTACACAGTCTAATCTGTGCTAGGTCATCCTCTTGTAATTCAGGAACCTTATTACTAATCACAGGTAGTTCTTGGCTTTTGTTTATAAACTTTCTCAAAGTATGGATTTAAAGAAGCGCATTTTCTCAATGTATTTCTACAAGAGGCAAAAAAAATCATGTCAACAAGTTTTACAAATGGCTGCTTGCCCTTACTTGCCTTTACTGTGATGCTGCAGTTCTCTGATCTTCCCCCCTGTGAGGACATAGCAAGAAGGCACCTTCCACAAGCCAGGAGGAAATTCTTCACCAGAACCCAACTGCACTGGCACCGTGATCTTGAACTACCAGCCTCCAGAACTGTGAGAAAATACATTTCTGTTATTTAAGCCACCCAGTATAGCGTATTTTGTTACAGCAGGCCAGATAGCTTAATATAGCAGTTCATATTTGCAGAAGCTCCACCTAGATTATAGTGCTTGGACAAGAAAGAATAACTATGCTACCAAGATTTAACTACACCATTTTATTTCCTTTACACTTGATAGAATAGATTTCTAATTTAGGGCCCACCAGTGAATTTTAAGGGATCCCCTTTTTTTCTGGGGAGAAGGTTTATTACATTTGTCAACTTTTCATAAGGGATCTCTGATCTAAACCTCTTTTTAAAAATTGCTGTATGAGATGTCCACTGGGAAACCCACAGCTCACAAGCCAAATATCGGGATCAGGTTTCTGCTCCACAGACACATGATTAGACATCAGTAAATGAAGCATGAATATTTATCCCCTTCTACTTGTTTCTTTGGATACATTTCCCTTTCCAATACCAAGGTAAAAGTCTTGCCTTTAATGTGGTCTCTAAATTGTATACCTTTCTTCAAGAGAACTACTAAAATCAGACATGAAAGCTGTATAAAATATGATAGCTAAAATAAAGCTCTAAAACAACCAATAGTGGAGAAAATATTTTGAATCCACTTTGAGTGGGTTAGTACTGAGTGATAGGAAGCATATCTTAGAAAAGCTCACTTGAACATCAAGGGGAGCAGTTCCTCTTTCATTAATTCACATGCTTTCAGCTATTCCCTATCCAGATAGTCACCGTGGTGAAAGGAAATCTGCTGAAAACAAGGACCAAGCACTCCCTACATGTAAAAAGCTGACAGAGCACATCCATTTCTAGCCACAGGACTCGCTTCTGCACTAGTCTCCAACCCTGAAAGGCACTTGTTTGTACTTCAGGGAGGTAAGGCTGGATGTCACCTCCAGATAGGTTCAGAGGGATAATTGTGTCTATTCAAGACGTCTGTCAGCCATCACCATTACTAGGATCCTGAGTATCTGTTTAAATATATATATATGTGTGTATTTATATCAACATAAATTTATATATATCAATATACATAGATATATAGATATGTCTATATAAATACATATATAGATATAAAATATATCATTATACGTAATGTATTTTAAATACTATATATTATTATTTATATTATGACATATATAATTACATATAATATATTACACAATGTCTATATCTATATATCATGCACCCTACATGCTCTATTTTCCCAAGCAGATAGCCATCTTTTTCACTGCCTTAAAGGACTTTCAACAAGTTACTGTATATGTATATGTATACATATATTTATATGTATATGTATTTGTGTATATGTATGTGTTTGTAGATATATGTGTGTGTGTGTGTGTGTATATATATATATATATGCCAGCATTTTCTTGTACAGAGCAGTATTATGCCCATGTATTAGAGGAAACAAACTTTTAGAGGTAAGGTTTCATTGACAAACAATTTATTTAAAAAGCTTACGGAGAATTTCCCCGAAAACACTTCAGACTTTTTATTGTTTCATAAGGAATTAATGTTGTCCATCAGCAGGAAAAAAATGCAACACATTGCCTTAATTATTTAGAGGTTTCGCTTTTTTTGAGTAGTGGGAGGGATATGAATAAAACAAAAATATGCTTAAATTTTCCTAAATTTTTACCTTGGATTCCATTTACCACTACCTGTCAGAGAGACAGGTGGGAATGAGAGAGTGGCAGTGGTTGGGGTGGGGATGGAATGTGGGAACCAGGACTATGACTTTAGAGTTTTATTTCTACATCCAGTTTTCAAATCTGTCCTCGTTTTCATATTTTATTGGCAACTGGTTTGGAGTAAAGATGCTAAACATACCCATCTATGTGAAATACTTGAAAGACTATCAATTTAAATACAAAATCTGAAAGAAAACTGAAACAGTTCATCAATCTCAGGAAGTTTCAGGAATATCTAAATGCAATGAACATAATAAATTGATGACTGACTGGAGTTTTCTATTTTCTTCAAGACCATTGGAAATATTTTCATAAGAGTCTTTGAATTATTTAAAGAGTCTATACTTCATATAGACTACTTACATAGTCTAAAAGTATATAACAAATTAAAAAGAAGTTATAAAATTATAACTGCTATATGCTCCGATATTAACAACCAATTCTTTTTCAAAAGTGTAGGTGATGTTCTTAAGCAGCTGTGGCCAGAGTAGGTATCTGTGTCAGTACTAGTCTGGATTTGCCCCTCCCTTGTGTCCTGAATTTTTATATTTCTAACCCTTGCTGTTGATTTTTACAATACCCCACACTGCTCTATACTTGACTAGTCAATTCTCTGGTAACAGGATAATCTAAGGTGAAGAGTTTTGTGCACTTTGCAACTGTTCTAAATTTGTAGCTGCAAATGCAAGCTTTCCATCTCAGCCATGCAGGCTTCATCAACTATATTTCTATTGCTCTTGTTATTTCTATCTGTTTTGAATTGCCCCTACCACAAGAAGCAGAGCTGTGATGACACTTTTATGTAACTAATGTCAAATCCACAAGGTTTCTTACCTGAATCATCATGAGTGAAAGTGTTGGGATATCATCGTGGCTTTCAGAATGAATAAACCCTGCTCTCATTCAGCTGTGGTTTTCAAAGTTGCTTTCGTGTTGAAATTTAAGTGGGATTCTTTCTGATTTTTCACTACAGACACAAGCTTGGTATTTTAAGCAGGTCATAATCCTCAATGGACGTTTTTGAAAGATGCTGATTAACTGCTCAAGGAGGAAAAATAGTCTACATACTCTCACTCGGCAAACATTCCCCAAGTTTTTCAGCCTCTTTAGATATAATTAAAAGAGATAATGATGGTAGGGTGTCAGAAGGCTCCCGTTTTCCCACTGAAACCAAGGGGATTCAGATGAGGCTCAAATCAGTACAAATGGGATTCAAGTTAAGTCTAAGAATCTAATTTCTGAACCTAGGTCTTTAAATCTGTTAGACTAGTAAAAGGTTTGTTGTCAAGAGATTTTAGAAAAGAGGAGATAATTTGCATACAGTATTTATTGAGAATCTGCTAAATACTAGATAACTAGAGCTGCGAAGACACTGTTTCTGCTCCCATGGAGCATGCAGTATTGAATCAGTCAGCTAATTAGAGAAGAAGTTATGACAAAGTTTGGGGTATATTATGACAGAGGAAATTCAGGATATTCTAGTATCAAGGAAAAGTAAAGAAAAGGACTTCTGGAAGAAGTGCTGCCTCAAAGGTACCCAAAGGGTGAGTTGGAATTAGTCATGAAAAGAAGGAGGTTTGAAGCACTCACCAAAGCGTTCATTTACTAGCACAAATGAGAGCATGGTGGAAAAACATGGAACTGACAGCAACTTAGAATGGCTGGAATTCAAATGGAGAGAGTGAAATGATATGAGGTGAGTATGAAACCCAAGGTCATATTGGGGTGAAAATTGCAAGCCATGTTAAGGAATTCGTAATTTTTTTTTCCCTAAGGAAAATAGCCATTGAAGGTCTTCCTATTTTAGAAAGGACATCACTGGCAACGATTTGACCAATGAATTAGGGGCAAGTTAGGATGTAAGGAGACCAGGTAAGAGGCTACGAAAAGTAGTTGCAACTTGTACTAGGATAGTAGCTGAGGAAACAGGGAAGACTGGATGGAGTTAGGAAATTTCTAAAGAGTCAATTACTGTAGATTGATTGAACGCCAATGGGAAGGAGAAAAAGGGAAGCTAGACAATGGATACAGGGGAATTAAGATGATAGCCTGAAAGTAAGGGAATATACTGAAAATCAAAAATATAATCCAGGCTGGGCCTGGTGGCTCACGCCTATAATCTGAGCACTTTGGGAGGCTGAGGTGGGTAGATCACTTGAGCCTAGGAGTTCAAGGCCAGCCTGGGCAACAAAGTGAAATCCTGTCTCTACATAAAATACAAAGCTAGCCAGGCATAGTGGCATGCACCTGGAGTCCCAGATACTTGAGAAGCTGAGGTGGAAGGATCACTTAAGCCGGGGAGATTGAGACTGCAGTGAGCCATGATGGTGCAACTGCATTCCAGCCTGAGCAACAGAGCAAGATGCTGTCTCAAAACAAAACAAAACAAATATGGTTCCAGGAATTTAAGCATAGAACTTTGTTTTTATCAAAGACTAAAAAATAAATCATTCAGAGTCTTTCTTGTTCAATGATTTTATAGGTATTAACTAGTCGTTCAGTGCTGAGAGGCCATTTAATTTTTTAAGTTACCTCTAGCTGTAAGCTCAATTCACAGTATTTTTTTGTGAAATAACTATCTTGATTCAGAGTTTAGTTAGCCACCCCCACATGTAGGAAGAAATCCAAGGTTTATATATTTAATATTCTATAAAAGATCTGAGTATAAATATTAAACTCCTTAGCATAATTTGAAAAAGTTCAGATTCAGAAAATTTGAGTGCAAAGCAGTTTGAATTATACAGCAAAAGAATATACTCTATGTGACATACATTTTCTAAGAGGTATGAACAATTTATATATTTTATATAGTAAGAATTGAAACAAACAAAAAACGTAATAGATTTACATAGCTAAATTCTATCTTAAGAATTACCAAAAGAACATAGAATATTAATCTATTCATGACATAGGAGAATTGTCCATGTTTATATGTGGTGCTTTAAAAATATGTAATATATGTTCTGTATCTATATAAATTATTGATAAGAGAAAGATACTGAAAAATGGTTCCATACCAACAATTCCTATCAGACCAATCTTACCTCATCATATAATGAATGCTACAGGGGATGAAAGGAAACAAAAATATTAAAAATGAATGTTGGAATTCTGTCCTCATCAGTATTAATATGCCAGGAATATATTTTAGAAACCCAACAGTACTAGGGAAAATGATAATGAATGTGAAGCCCTAGTAATCAATACATTATTATGAAATACTATTTACAGTTTTGATTCATTTTTTCTAAAAATATTCAAAGCAAATCTACACTGAGTAAAGACTTTGG